GAGAGAGAGAGAGAGAGAGAGAGAGAGAGAGAGAGAGAGAGAGAGAGAGAGAGATGAACCACAATGTGCATGACCTGAAATGCCCAGCCACGGAGGCCCAACTCCATGGAAGACAATGGAGGGCACAGCAGAAAGATGGGAGTGTGGTGAAATTTCTGATATACCCCGGTAGCACCCTTCCAAGGGCCTTCAGCACGGCCCCGACTGCCAGCAACAGCCACAAGGGCATACTGACAGATGTTAAGTACCGGCAGGGGTATCTTGGAAATTCTTGTGCCGGTACCCAAGGGCTTTCCGGTAGGGGCACACTGGAAAATTTGGCACCGGTACCGGTAGGGGCATATTGAACGTATTTCAGGCCCAAACGACGCCAGGGTTTTTTTGGAAACTCGAATCGTTGTCAGAGGGGCAAATCAGGGTACCTCTGTCTTCGGAGGGGCAAAACGCAAATAAATGGAAACTTCAGGGGCATTTCGAAAAACCAATTTACGTACAAAAATTTGGAAAAACGGCGGGGTACCGGGAAATCCCCCGATACCTTCAAAATTTCGAAACTTCGTCGAATTCGGCGAGGTACCGGAAAACCCTCCGAATGACTACCGCTGTTGGTCCATCGGGTCTCGCTGCACTCCTCTCCAAATCTTCAAAATGAGACTGAATCCACCCCTCGAACATGGGAAGATACATTGCCATATGTTTTGTCTTTTGCGCATGTGGAGAGCGGTGCAGCGAGGCCCATTGACTTCCCCCGCGCACTCTCACTTTGCATGCGTCCGCATCTCCATCTCATCTGCTGCTCACAGGCAAATTCGTCTTAAACTTCACCGACAACCGCTTCACTACCGCGTCAGGTTATGCGATCGGTTCGGTTTGGCTGTGACAATGAATGACCGCTCGTTTTCTTTACTGGATGGATTTTGAGAAACCCATGATGACCGATTGGATCCGATTAATTGGGGAGCGTTTGGAGCAATTGCATCCAATTGAGGGGCAATTGCATCCAATTGCGGAGAAACTGAAATTCGATTGGATTGAGGGGCTATTGCATTTAATTGAGGAGAAACTGAAATTCGATTGGATCCATTGGAGCATACTGGATCGATTGGAGAAACAGACGGGTGAGTTGTCGCCTTTTGACTTTAGTGCTTCCCTTTTTTTCCCCTTTTTTTTCCTTATTTGTTTTTTTTTTTGTTTTTTGTTTTGTTTCCCGTCCCAGAAACAGGACTTGTTTGCAACTGCAAGAAGCAATTCAACAAACCGACAATACCGGGACGCAATTTGATCAATCAAGAATGCGACAATCTCTCTCTCTCTCTCTCTCTCTCTCTCTCTCTCTCTCTCTCTCTCTCTCTCTCTCTCTCTCTCT